AAATAGAAAGGCTTAAGGGACACATTTTTTTTTTAATCTACCGACTTTGAAGGCACTGAATCTTATAAACTCTAAATACTCTTTCTTGTTGTTTTTTTTTTAAGACTTTATTTATTTATTTGACAGACAGAGATCTCAAGTGGGCAGAGAGGCAGAGAGAGAGAGATGATCCCAGGACCCTGGGATCATGACCTGAGCCGAAGGCAGAGTCTTTAACCCACTGAGCCACCCAGGTGCCCCAACTCTAAATACTCTTATCATCCTTAAACTTTCCAATCAGCTAACCCAACTATGCATCAGGAAGGCTTATCCATATTAACAACCTCCAGCTGCTTTTCTAACAAGATAAACTGATAATCATAAATAACCTAAGCAGAAAATAATTTCCTCTTACAGAAGGGTCTAAAAGCTTGCTTTTGATAATATTCACCTTTTATCAAAATTTATAAGATCTACTAGGTGCTCTAGAAATAGTATTCCATTTAGCTTAAATTTCAAAACTACTTAATGAGTTCAGTACTATCCTCCTGTGGCAAGTAAGAAAACGGAGGTTCAGGGCTGCTGGCTAATTGCCCAACATGCTACAGGAAGTAGGAAGCAGAGTTGAGGTCTGTCCACTTCCATTCCTGGGCTCCTCAAAACTTTGTTCCATGCTTATGGCCACGGTCGCCAAACTGTGGAAAGAACCAAGATGCCCTTCAACGGACAAATGGATAAGGAAGATGTGGTCCATATACACTATGGAGTATTATGCCTCCATCAGAAAGGATGAATACCCAACTTTTGTAGCAACATGGACAGGACTGGAAGAGATTATGCTGAGTGAAATAAGTCAAACAGAGAGAGTCAATTATCATATGGTTTCACTTATTTGTGGAGCATAACAAATAACATGGAGGACATGGAGAGATGGAGAGGAGAAGGGAGTTGAGGGAAATTGGAAGGGGAAGTGAATCATGAGAGACTATGGACTCTGAAAAACAACCTGAGGGTCTTAAAGGGGCGGCGGGTGGGAGGTTGGGGTAACAAGGTGGTGGGTATTAGGGAGGGCACAGATTGCATGGAGCACTGGGTGTGGTGCAAAAACAATGAATACTGTTACGCTGAAAAGAAATAAAAAAAAAAAAAAGACTAAATGAGAAAAAAAAAAAACAACTTTGTTCCATGCTTAATAAGCAAGAGGCCAATTCCAGCATCTCCTTACTCAATCATCCTGTTAGCTTTCACCGTAAAGGGAAATTCATCTCTTTCCAGCTTCTCCGAATAATATGTTCCTTGCATCTTTCTTTTCTCAATAATGTCTGAAGAAATATGGGAATATATGTGACTTGAGGCATGAATTTCCCTTTTTCTTATTCAAAAGACTCTTCTGCAATAAAGGAAGAAAATAAATTGGTAGAAATTCAGAGTATTAAATCTTGACAAAACTTTGAAAAGATGAAATAATTTTTATTTTTATGTTAATGACAAAAACTTTTTAAGAAGTCACTTGAAGAGGAATTCTCTTTCGGTTTTGAACTGAAAGAAGATGGCAAATAAATGTAACAGACAACAGAGTAGGTAAAATTACATTTAAATTTTTGCTAAGAGTCATTAAAATAGTGTTAATATACTATGAAACCGAAATGCATGTCTTTGAATCATTTTGAAAATACAGGTTTCCTCAGTATTTTAAAGTAGAGCTTGCCTATGAAAACTTTTGAAAGCTGAAATAACATAAAGTGAAGAAGCAATTGCCATTAATTTATACAGAAATTTTTTCACGTGTTTCTAGACACGAAAATAATCCCTTGGGCTTTTCTGATACCTTGGGATACCATCTTGCTAGAGGATGCACACAATAAATGGAGATAAAACACAGATGCTCACACAGTTCAGAGATATGGCAGCTTACTGCTAAGATGCTAGGTGTAGTTCCGAGAAAGAAGCTTAGTGGGGCCACTCTCACTATTAGGATTCATGCTGCCTCTATAACCCCTCATTGAAAAACAAATGCTAAATGCAATTTTCGCTTTGCACCCTTTTTTGTAAAAGTGAAACCCCTCTTGAGATTTCTTTCAGTTAGCAAAAACAGGTACTAATATAGATCTTTAATGAAAGTGAAGTAGTGTAAGGCAAACTTTTAAAAGGTAGGGGGAATACCTGAATAACAAAGTTATAAAGGAACATGGATTATAAAATCAATTCATAGGATAGTTTAATATCAATGAATATTCTTGCTCTACAAAATTAATTTTTCATGGAATGCTGTCAATAATTACGTTCTGCTAAAAACATGAGAGGTTTGGAGCACCAGGCTGGCTCAGACAGTGGAGTATGTGATGCTTGATCTCAGGGTTGTGAGTTCGAGACCCACTTTGGGTGCAGAGATTCCTTAAAACTTAAAAAAAAAAAAAAAAACTTTAAAAAAAGACTTATATAAGAGCTTTATTTGTCATACTTATACAACTTAAGATTCTGCTATAAGTATGTCTAACTAGCCAGGACCAAGGTTTCTCTTTAATTCAAAAACAAAGTTTATATTTTATTTTTAAAAATATAAAAATTATCAAGAAAACGACATCTGTTCCTTTTGTTGTTGGACTGACCACTGGGTTTTACTTCAGGGGAAAACCATGGGGAAGCCCTGGATGGCTCAGTAGTTTGAGCATCTGGCACTTGATTTCAGTTCAGGTCATGAACCAAACTGGGATCGCAGGATTGAGCCCTTCCTCAGGCTCCATGCTCAGCGGGGAGCCTGCTTGAGCATTCTCTCTCCCTCTCCCTCTGTTCCTCCACCCACTCATGCATGTACTCTCTCTCTTTCTCACTCTCTCTCTCTCTCTGTCAAATAAATCTTTTTTTAAAAATGGTATGACACTTTCTTGCATATAATCCGTTATATAAGAAAATACTCCAACTTGTGCAGAAGTTTCAATCAAAAGTAAAATACTTGGTCTCACTCACAGTTAGACAACAGTTGTACCCTTTTCCCATCTGTTTTCACTAGTCATCTGTATAAGGTTGAGAGTGGGTGGGCAATTGGAGGAAAGTGAAGAAGGACAGTATCTGAATAAGAATGTTCGATACCTACCTCCACAAAAAAACCAGACCATTTCCAGTCAAGAAAAGACATAGGGAAAGAAAATTCTTTCATCCAGTTGTTAAGCCTAACCTTTACCCATACCCCAACCAGAGTTAAGAACTTTGTCACACAGAAGGGTCGGTCCTTCACCTCTCTGACCTTAACACAGGTGAAGCGCTCCTGGCTGGAAGCTGAGAGGCGAGTTCTAGCCTAGGGACATTTCAGGGCTGGGGACGATGAAGTCAGCCCTCCAGTTCCAGCAATTCCTACTGAAACTGGGAGACACTAGGTCTTTTCCCAAAAACACACCAAAGCTGAACTCCAAAAGAGGTCCTAAAGTGATCAATAAATTCCTTCAGAACCCTCTCCAACCCTCCACTGAAAAAATGAAATGGAGAACCTTTTCCTCTATTTCAACCAAATCTAAGCCAATTGTTACTAAATCTGAATGGGCAGAAGACATAAAAGAGGAGTTAAAATGGTTTTGTAAATAATGAAGAACTTCCTGAGCATGGTACAAGGATTTCCAATTGCAGTAAATGTGTTGGTGATAAATTGCCTTTAAACTGAATTTCTGCAAGGGTCATGCACAAGAGTGGACTCCCAGTGTAATTCATATATGCTCAGTTGCCATTCCATTTCAACTCCAAATTCGTGTCTAAGACTTCGGCATCATCTTCCCTACATTTTCCTCCTTCTACCTTCTACCTCACCTTCTCTCCCCTTAACAAGTATGCTCAGACTTCTTAAAATACTGTTCAGTGAAGGTGGGCATGTGGATAGCTTCCCTGCAGCGAGACACACCTATCTCTGCATTGAGTATAGAGGCTAATGAGTTCAAAGTGATCTCAATAAATGAGTCGCCCTCCAGCCCCTCCTTTCAAACAGCTGTTATATGAGCTTATGCTACACTTAATTTATTAGCCTAAGACAATTTAATTGCATTGTTTCTACAAAATAGAACATGTTGTTCATAGTAACTACATGCTAATTCCTTTGAAAACCTCAGTAATTATACAGTGACTTTGCAGCTCCCAACAATGGTGCGATTAACTGGGGTTCCATGTTTGAAGCTGGGAGCAAGCTCAGCACCGAGGCAGACAGAGTTCTGACAGGGTTTGTGCGTCAAAGGACATTTTACTATCTGAACTTTGTTCCCCCAGAACTTTGCTTCTTTATGAATGCTAGAGGGTTTGCACACAGCCCCGCTGAGGTAGGAGGGGCTGTTGCAGCAGCAGCAGCCTTGACATTTAAGACAACCGCACAGAGGCAGCAAACCTTTCCCAGGCACAGAACAGAGTGTACTCCCCAAAGACAGTATCTATGGTTGCCCAGTAAATACACATCTATAAAAAGTTCAGTAAACACACAGGTTTAATGACTTGAGTTTTATGTCTAAACACAACTTTAAAATCACACTTCAGAACGACTACTTTGTGAGAAATGATTGCACTTTTAAAGATGTTTGAAGGTGTGTGGCCTTGAGGATTCTGTCTCATAAAGCCAGGAAAGAAGTGTCATTTTTGCCTGAAGCTCTGATGTGGCTTTGAATGTCACGTTTTACAGAATATTCTGCTTTGGGTTATGTTTATGAAGTGCTCTTAATTAACATTTCTCCAGTGTCTTACGGGCTCTGCTTTCTTCTCCCCAAACTCCTTTTCAACTTCTCCAGCTTTGATGAGGAAATTGGTATGTTTTATCGTCACATTTTTCCCCTGAAATATCTGCTTTGGTTGGTTCCTTCAATAGAAATGAGTCTTAGGAAAGTGAGGTCACAAGGACTTCCTGTGAGTTTAAAATAAAAAGCGTTTTTATTATAAAACCAAGGGGAAGTAAAGGAAATACAAAATCGTAGAATACAATGATTTTCCAGAACATAGATTTCTCACCCAGGTTTAATAAAATGCAATCAGCTGTCTGATTCTTCTACAAAGCCCTTCCTTCTTCCCCCACCTGTTTTCCCCAACTCCTCAAATTGGATAAGAGAAATATTCATTAGATTTCAACCCTGAGAGTTTGGGGTTGGCACCTCTATAGGACCCTCTTCTCTCTGTTTTCAGTCTAATAACTTGGTTTCTGGTATTTAATCCAAGTGTGGAAACGTTCAGACCATCCCCTGTGACACTAAATCATTCTGTACATCCGATCTCAGGTATCTTTTGAGGAAGGCAACCCCCCCTCCTGAGGAGGAGACTCCCCCCTTGCCTCTACGATAACATGGACCCCCCACCCACCCCCAGCCATCTCCTCCTGCCCTCATTTCTTGTAAAGCCAAATCTTGAGCCTGGCGGCTGGGCATGGCTGAGCCCCATGAACGATCATTCCTTCTGATTCAGATATCAGTTCTTTGATGACTCATTTCCAAGTGGCCCCTGGGAATGGTTTCTAAAGTTCTATAAGCCATGGTTTTATAAAACCAAAATTGCCTTTCAGAGGCAGATTGAATCTCCAACAATGGAAAAGGTGAGTCACTGTATTTCAGTCTCCCTTGGAGTAGGGAGAGTGAACGAACCATCGCCACGTTTCCTTGGATCCCCGTATTTATCCAAAAGCAGCGGTCTACAGCAATTTGTCATTATGTATTCACTAAGTGTCAATGCAAAATAGGAAGAGTAAGCAGAATAGATACATGGAACCAAGAGAGGAGTAAAAGAATCATAGAAATGAAGAGAAATAGTAAAACGTATCAAGAGCATATGTTTCTATGGTTCAAAATTCTGATTTTAATTGTAAATCCTTATTTGAAGTTATTGGAGAAATGGCATCCCACCAATTACTGAAAGGCCCATCATCTAATTTCTGAAGAGAAATAGTTTTAGAGAATTTTTGAATCTTCTACTCTACGTCTAAAGAAAAGGTATGTTATAGGCAAAAACTTTAACCTTGCTTTATCCTTTGAAATTCTATGAAGTCTGGTAAGCTGGTTTAGTATTTCATTCAGAGTCTACTAACCACCTGACATTCCACTGTATTTGTTAATATCAGTAGAGGAATGCTCTGAGGCAAGATACATGCAGGAAGAACATTAGCTACTGGTTTCAATATTAATAATTCCTATGTTTATAAGTTTGTCTTATTTTAGTAAATATTAAAATATGCATTTTAAGCTTTTGAAGGTCAAAGAAGAGAGTTTTCATAGTTGATAACCTTTTTAATAACAAAGTTAATTCATTGTCTACTATTTACAAAGCACTGTACTAGACATCTTGTGAAATATATTGAATTTTCACTTATCACAAGTTCAATAAAAGCCAATTATGATGATGGCTTGTGTTTATTGAGCCGCCAGGTTTTGCATTAAGAATTCACATGGATTATATCATTCAATTTTCACATTAACCCAAAAAAGCACTAATTTATCCCCATTTTATAGAGAGGAGATGACATTCATAGAAGTTGGGCAACTTTCCCAACATCTCAAGTCAGCAAGTAGCAGAGCAGAGGATTCTTCTGCTCCCCAGAGCCTATGCACTGACAACACTGTTATAGACGCGCTCCCTCTTGTCAAAGGTACTTCAGTCTACTGAGAGGATTAGTATAAGGATCAAAGGGAGAATCTAATAAATACTGCACACACCTGAAAAATATGCATACAAATTATTAAATCAGTAAAGGATTGCATGTATGTTTGCAAAGTGGGAAACTCACAGGTAATGTCACGTGACTGCTCTTGTACTAATTTTATGGTTATTTAACCCATATTGTTGTTTGGCATTTTATGTGCAGATGAATCCTTCAGCTAGCTTCTGACCTTACCAGGGAAGGACTGTGTTTTCTATTTTAGGAATCCGCCATAACACTTAGTACAATGACATGCACCTAGTAGGTCCTTTACAAATATTTGTGGAATGAAGGAGGAATTATAGGCAAGTAAGATAATTTTGCATCTGGCTGTGTGGAGTGACAATACGCAAGGGGTAACAGTAGCTTAAGTGAGATGGCAAATGCCTGGAGCAGAAACATGAGAAAGAATGGGTAGAGTCAGGAAGTGGGTTATAAAATAAGCAACATTAATGGAGCACTTACTGTTCGAAGTGCTTTAGAGGTATTAAGCCATTTACTCTTCACAATGATCCTGTAAGTTAGGTACTTACCCTTATTCCCACTTTATAGATGAAACACATAGAGATAACTAACTTAACATCACCCAGGCAGGAAGTGGTTGCCTCAAGAACTCATGTCATTTTGTCCTGTCCTTGCCCCCAAATAGAGGATCTGAGAATACTTGGAGCACCCACATGGGTGCTAAGACTAAAGGAGATCAATGATGCCAAGGTTACAGCAGAGACTTTTGACTAGAATGTCAGGAAGTTCTACCACTAGCTAACAGAGAGAAAGTTGGAATGGAAAAAGCAAAAAGGGAAAATGAGCAGTTGTGCTATTTTCCCACAGTCACCTTAAGTAGTCTTCAGAATGTTCCCAGAAGGGCATCTTAGGAAAGGAGCCTAACCTGGAGGAAGGGGGGTGGGTGGGGAGTCTAATAATGATAAAAAGAACTACTACAACAGACATTCGTATAGGCCTTCATATTTTGTGGGAATTGTGTTTAGTGAGGTAATTGACATACATTCTAAATTCAGTGACTGAATAGGGTCTCTACCCATATACCAAGTTATATGATAAATTGTTTCACTATTCTTCACAGTTTTATAAAAGTTGTTATGTTCCTTGTTCTGAAGAGGAAAAAACCGAGACTCAGAGTTTTAGGGACTTGCCAGTGGTTTCTTCCCTAAAGAGATGTCCAAGCTGGGGCATGTGGGTGGCTCAGTGGGTTAAGCCTCTGCCTTCGGCTCATGGAGGTCATGATCTCAGGGTCCTGAGATTGAGCCCTGCATTGGGATCTCTGCTCAGTGGGGATCCTGCTCCCTCCCCCCAGCTTCCCCCCATCTCCCCACCCAAGCCTGCCTCTCTGCCTACTTGTGATCTCTGTCTGTCGAATAAATAAAATCTTCGGGGGGGGAAAAAAAAAAAAGGATGTCCAAGCAGAGGCAAAGCCTGGTCTGGCTCATCATGTAGATTTCAGTTTAAAGGAAACCCAGTCAGAGCAGCCTTCCCTACCTGGCAAAACAAACCTAAGTCACCCTCACTCCAACCTCATCACTCTTCATCTCATCTTTTATTGTCTTTGACAACAGAATGTTCATCCCTCTTATGGCTTATCTCTACATTGTGTCTATTTTCTATTTGCTCCCCCTGGAATATAAACTCTATGACATTAGGTCTGGAGTCAGTCTCCGTCTCTAATCTCTACCTATATGATGTCTGGCAAGCAGTAGACATTCACTTGGGGTTTGTCATGGAAATGAAAGAAATCCAAATCCCCAAAGCCTGTAGTCTCATCACTGACAGAGGACATGTTGGTTGAAAAAGCGCAGGACAGTGGAACGATGCATTCCTGTGGTTCCTCCCCCTCCCACTGTTCTGGCTCTGAGATAACTGCTAATTTACAAGAGTTAATGTGGGCAGGGAATGAAAGAAAACGGGAATTAATTGGGGGACTTTATGGGAAACTCTTCCCAACAGTGAAAAGTGGTTTTGGATTGAGTAATGCCGGGAAGATTGTAGGGTAACTGAGATATAGAAAGCAAATGGGATAGCAGCAGTATACCAAAAGGTCATTTGGTGCTTATCTGAGTTTACACTGAGTTTCCATTAATAAGTTAAATAAACTATTATCAGCTCTTACCTAAAACAAGTGCTTTATCAAAAAATTCCCATTAAATATAACATCCGTATAGTTTTTACCCACATCCTCTCTGTTCTTTTAGGATTTTTTTTTTTTTTTAATGTGTAAAAGTCAAGTGACTCTACTTGGTGCACATATTGTTTCTGGAATGTTTCCTACCACATCCAAAGATAAATCAGTTCTGGTTTGCTTGCTAAGTTAGTGATCTCTCCATGTCCTGTATATATCCACAATGCATGGAATTTTCCTTTAAACATTTAAATCATAATAATTTTCACATGCATAATTTTTCTCTCATTGGAAAAGAACATTGGGAACTTACATAAAAGCCAAAAAGAAGGCAAGAAAAAAATAGAACATGGTCAGTGGGTTCTGTACCAGTTCTCCAAGTTCTAGCACTGAGCAGCTGTGTTATGTCAGACAAGAAATCCTATACGGGAGTCTATAAAATGGAGAGAAGAGTAATCCCTAATTTATAGAATTGTGAGAATTAAATAAATCATGTCTAGCAAATAGTAATAGCTCAAAATTTAGCTACCTTATCACATAACATACGATCCCTAAAAAGCTATCCAGCAGCTATGAATAGAGTTTAAGGGCCTTTCAAGCCCTCCTACTCCTTTAAGTAGAGTCTTTGGATTATAGAGAAGCAGTCCTCTCTTTTCATGGCATTGGAACAAAAGAGATTTCTCTACTGCTTCAAGTACATCAAAAATCTTCATCACTGCTGCTAAAATTTCCAGTTCAGCATTTTCCTCCAGATACTGGTTCTCTCTGTACCACCTGTGAGACATCTAGTCATGTCTTTTATGTAGTTTAAAGTCTTCCACCACTGGGGCACCGGGATGGCTCCGTCCATTAAGCGTCTACCTTTGGCTAAGGTCATGATCTCAGGGTCCTGGGATCGAGGTGCACATTAGGCTCCCTACTCAGCAGGGACTCTGCTTCTCCCTCTCTCAGCTCATGCTCTCTCTAACTCTCTCAAATAAATAAATAAAATCTTTAAAAGTAAAAAAAATAAAGCCTGCCACTACTAAGACATCTTTAGGCTCTATGCAACCTGACCAGTCCAACCACCTCATCATGGTGGCCAAGAGGTAGACAGAGTAGAAAGGACGATTATATTTGGATCTAGCAGCAAGAAGAAATTTGGTTATCTTCATATGTCTAATTTATGTTGAGTCTGGGAACTAGAAACCATATGTCAGAGACTCACGCAACCAGATGTCCAAGTTCTTGGTCTTCTGAGTAGATATTTACAAATCTAGGTAATGATAATTTAAGCTTCCATATAAGTATAATTCTATACTTTTGCAAGGGTACATCCCTTCTTTAAATTCTTGGGGATCCAGGGATTGGATCCCTCAGAGTTGGGGATCCATCTCTGAGGAAGACATATTCCTCAAATCCACTCTTCTGGTTTTCCCTCATTGCTTCAGACAACCATTCTGCTCCCCAACACTGCAGATCACTTTAATAAGCCAGTGTTGCCTACCCAAATTTTCCTATAACTTGTTGACAGAGGCCCCTTCCTAAGCCTGCAAAGCACAGCTAAAATCAAGCAGTAGCATTCAATGAAACTTACTGAAGATTTAAAGATACAAAGGGAAATTTTAATGAAAAAAAAAAAGAGAGAATATGATCTATAAAGCAGCCATTTCTGATCCAAAGGAGGCAGTGGCTGAGAGATGTGGTTGAGAGTATGGGCTCGAGAAATAGCCTGGGCGAAGGAGTGAGCCGTGACAACTTATTTAAAATCTAGGTGTCTCCGAGGGCAACCACCACACAAAAATACCTTGAAAACTGAGTCACTCTAAGTATTACTTAGACTTCTTCCTGATGTTTAGTAGGCACTTGATAACTGTTTACTATTATTATTGCTGTTGTTATATCATTACTGTTTGTGACTCTCTAGTGCTCAGCCTGTCAACATACTCTAAGGACTAACCTACCTCCTGTGATACCCCAATGTCATTTCTCTTCCCCAAATCCAAGTCTCCGATGTTGTCTGAGATTCAGAGATTGAAGAAAAATCATTTTTTCCCCTCAATAAGCTAATCTGTCCTCTGCCCAGAAGAAAGGCAACTGTATTATTACATAGATCAGTTAAGATCTGTATTAGGTCCTCCAATAATGGAACAAGATTTATTTAATTTATTTATTTATTTATTTATTTATTTATTTATTTTTGCAAGAGAGAACCATATACACACTGGAGGGGAAGGGGACGGAGAGAGAGAGATTCAAGCAGACTTCTGCTGAGCATGAAGCCTGACCTGGGGCTCAATCTCACAACCCTGAGATCATGACCTGAGCCAAAACCAGAAGTCGGATAACTAACTTGACTCTGTCACCCAGGTGCCCATGGAATAGGATTTATATTTTGCCCTGCAAACCATGGTTCCATTAAAGTGCTTTCTCACCAAAGGGGTATCATCCCTGGTGTAATTGGAGTCAAAAAAGACAATAAAATTTAAAAATGCATAATTACTAATTAAGAGGAATGCTCTGGGCAAAAATAGTCAAGGGACCTACTTCAGATTACTGGTTTAGGAAAGGGCTTTTTGAAGAGAGGCATTTAGAGAGACCTAAAGAGTGAGAAGGAACCAGATGGGCAAAGGGTGGAAAGAATATCATTGCATGCAGAACAACATTCTCCCTTTCTTCTTTCCAATTTTGTGTTTTGATAATCATCACGCATACCTTTAGGGAATGTTGATTCCCCTGGACTTGCTTTCCTTCTACTGATGACCTGAGTAAGAGTTGGTTTTAACCAATCATGGTAATGCTATTCTCCTTCCCCAGTGATCGGTTTTCGAGTGGATGTGAGACTATATTCTGGCAAATGAATATGATAGAGGGCTTCTGTAAGAGTATTACTTCTTTTTAGAAGGAGAAAACTAGAGAGGAGAGCTCACTGTCACTACCCCTTCACTCTTCTTGCCTTCAATGTAGCAGTGATGCACGGAGCTTTGGCAGCTATTTTAAGAACACGAAGCAACAAGCAAATATGCTACATGTGCTGAGTAAAAAAGTACAAACAAGATGTATCCTTGATGAACTTATTGAGTCATTGGAAAGCCCTGAAGTCTGCTCCCAGACTTTTCTAGTATGAGAAAAATAGAGGGTTCTCCTTTTAAGTAATTGTTAGATTTTTCTATTACTTGCCCCTGAAAACATTCCTGATCGTGCAGTGGTACCATCAAATTTCAAAGAAGATCATTCTTCAGGAAGATCCTGCTCTTTGAGGGACCTTTTAAGAAGATTTTAGTGCTATATGGAAAATTAGACCACTAATTAAACATTGCTACGAGGCGTGCCTGGGTGGTACAGTTGGTTAAAGCCTCTGACCCTTGGTTTCAGCTCAGGTTGTGATCTCAGAGTGGTGAGCTCAAGCCCCAAATCCCACTCCACACTCAGCACCTAGTCTGTTTAAATATCCTTCCTCACACTGCCTGTCCCTGCACCCCCCGCCACGCTCCTGAGCGCGCTCTCTCTCTCTCTCTCTCTCACACACACACATAAATAAATAAAAATAAATACACATTACTGTAAATATTCTATGCTGAGTACAGTTTATGTCACAAATTCATAATTACACAGACTTATCAGATAAAGGGAGACTTACCACCTTAAAATGAGAGCAAATTTTCTCCTTCAATAGAGGTATTTTTGCAGAAGTGTTAGCTTTTCTAAGAGAAAGCTGGGTTAAGCCTTGGTGAAATTGTCCCATTAGACTCCATTCAATCTTTTCTTTATGCTAACTGGTTACCTATTAGGGCAATAATTCTCAAAGTCCATTTGTAATAAAAAGATTATGATATTTGATATTCTATGGCTCAGCCTATTTTACATAATTTCTGTGAGAACGAAATTCAGACATAGGATACAAATAAGCTTTCATTTCCACGGCCAAATAAAAAAGCACATGGAAAACAAAGAAAGGTAATAAAATACAGTAAGTCTGTTGATAAAGAGGATTATACCTGATGGCCCTTAATAATAATGATACAGATGGAATGTGACAAGCAATCAGGCCTGCACTTTTTTTTTAATTTGATACATCAAGACATTCTTCCCACACAAGTCATGAGTGTTGCTGAAACTTCAAAGGGAAAAATAAATAAATCCTGAACTTTGGATCCTATTAAGTCCCATCTGACTAAACTCACTATTCAATTCTCACTTCTAGAAGGATTTGAGTCAAATCAAGTTCCATATCCCTGAAATTTTATGCCTCTATTCCTAATAATACAGCCCTAGCAAGAAAATGTCTGTGGGATTTAAATAATGAGGAAAAAGTGGTAATCAGGAAATACCTCCAGCTAGAATAAGACATACAGTCTTATCTGTCAATGGCAATCAATGAATCAATCAATCAATGTCAGACATTTTTAAAAACATGTTGTCATCTATTTCATATTTTTACCATGAGGTAATTATCAAAAATATATTTCCTAGTGTTTTCTTGTTGTTCAACATTGCATATTTTTGCAAGTTTGTTTTTTTTTCTCTAAAATCATTGTAATTATCATTAATAAATATTTTCTAAAGGCTTTTTAAAATTTTTTGTTTAAATAATTAAGTATGGCATTACTTTGGCTATGGTCCCATACCACTTATCTTAGAGCAATAAATTCAACTTTTCTTTAACCTGCCTGATTGCTAAGGTACACTTTCTGAATGAGTCAGAGTTCTATAGATGCAAACAACAGAAATAGCCTCCAGCTAATTTATACAAAGAAAACTGATTGAAAGATATCAGGCCTATTATCAGTAGTAAGGCTAAAGAACCATACTGGGAAATGTGCAGAGCCAAGCTATCTCCACTGGTGCAGGATCTGGGGATGACAGGAATAGTGTCATGGTGGCAGAAATCTAGCTCCTCCCTCCTACATCAGATGAATTCCTACCATTTTCTCTGCCTTTAATCTCCTAACCAGGATTTAAATTCCAGGGGATAAGTGTTTGATTGACCTAATTTTAATCATATATTGAAATTTGGTTAAGAAAGGAGTAGCATCCTGGAGTACAACCCCACCATGCTGAGGTGATAATAATAGTATAATAATAATAAGAATACAATTATTAGACATGTGGTGTTAAGAAGGGGAAATGAAGCCGGCCAGTCACAAATTTAAAGGGTGCGTGGGTGGCTCAGTTGTTGAGCATCTGCCTTCGGCTCAGGTCATGATCCCAGGGTCCTGGGTTCAAGCTCCGCATGGGGCTCTCTGCTTGACAGGAAACCTGCTTCTCCCTCTCCCACTCCCCCCACTTGTGTTCCCTCTCTCACTGTATCTCTCTCTGTCAAATAAATAAAATCTTTAAAAACAAACAAACAAACAAATTTAAGATGCCTAATATGCCATCCTTTACCATTTTCTGTAAATTGCTTTACCTATTTTCAACTGGTTAAATGAAAATAATTCTTTGCAGCCATTCTGAAAACCCAGGACGCTCCTTATTATATGCTTAATAACCTCAGTCACTGAAGTAAAAGAGGAGCTAAGTTGATTTTATTCAAGTTGGAGTTACAAGTCATGGAGAGTTCTAAGGTTCATGATACAGTCAGTTCACTAACGGAGTTTTCTCCCCATTGTTGAGTGGCGACAGAATCAGCTGATTTGATGATGAAGTGGCTTGTTGCGCATCATGTCAGTGTGAAAAATATAAACGATGTCACCCAAATGAATATGATCAACTGTGCTTCGTTTCCCTTTCACAACGCCACCTAGTCAGTCATCACCACAGACATGGCCTTCTTTCTCTTCTTTGCTGTCCTATGTTATCCAGAACACCCACCCCAGCCCACATTTCAACTCTCTCTGTTGCTTCCTTGCTCCTGCTGGTAACTTGCTTTCTGCACTTTATGAATATCTATCCCCCACCCAAGCATGATGAAGTGAGCTCAAGAAACAATGTTACTATGTTTTTCCCTAACTTCTGCTGCTGCTGCTTCTTTTTTTTTTTTTTTAAGTAGGTTCCATGCCCAATGTGGGGCTTGAACTCACAACTCTGAGATCAAGAGTCACATGTTCTACTGATTGAGCCAGTTAGGTGCCCCACTTCTCTATCTTCTTAGTAAGAAAATCTTAAGGAACATGGTTGCCAGTTGTTTAACAGTTTCAGACTTACCAAGGAGCAGAGTGGGAGAAATACTTTAAAAGGTAATTACATTCTTTGCTGAGGTTTTTGGCAGAGTTGACAGTATTGAGAAATAGTCAAATTCAATCTGTGAAGTAATTTTGAGAAAAAAAAATAGAAATTTTGATTACATATTGATTTTTCTTAGGATAAGGAGAATGAGATAGTTTCTTGTTTAGTTGATGAGATAATTTTCTTTTCCAGTCTGTTCATAGACAGGTTTCTATCTCTGATTGCTAGTCCAATTATCTCATAAATGGTTGAGTTAGAGAGATTTTCAGAGAAGTATACTTGAAAGTTATCAGAAATAATTTGGACAAGCTTCTCTTCATTTTTGTTCTCAGACGATGGAAATAGTCCTAAGAATACTTCGAACCATCACTAGATGTATATCATTGCTTGGGCAGAACATGTATAATTTGGTTGGGGAGTCTGAATTGCCCAGAAATATTTCACTGAACTTTTCAAGAGTCTCATTTCCCTCAAAGCTGAGACCAAAGTTCGTGTCATACTACCTTTATTAGTATCCGTGCAATCCCAGAGAAAGGGGAGCAAAAGAACAGAACAGTAAGGAAAGTAAGATGAGACAACCAATACAAGGATGACTTACCAGGACAATCTTCCAGTTTTGCTTCTTCCAAGACCCCGACAAAGCAGACAAGCCATTCCTGTCTGCCCCAGAATCTGGATATATCTACAGCTCCATACATTTTGCTCTCTCCACACGAAGTTATCGACCATTCATACTACTCATAACACTGCCTACAAGGAGAAATTTCCTTTCCAGAAATTTCATTTCAATGGAATGTCCTTCCATTCCCTGTAGGGTTGTAACATGGTAGGAATCCATTTTCTGCTAGCACTATTGTATAGTGAGAATTCATGTGTAAACTGGGCCTAAATTGTCTTTTCTTCCCTCACTTGGTCATAGGGGATCACCTATTCCTCTTCTGCCCCATGAGGCCTAGCATGAGTTGAGGGAGGTCCATTAGTGCAGCAGTGGCAGGTGAGGCAAGAGTTTAAAAAGACATGTATGTGTTTTACTCATGCCTTCCAAGCATGTTCAGGATGGATCCCAGGGTTTCATTTCTATCATAAGTCTGCTGATACATTTACCCAAAGTTACCACTCATTGTATCTGATAATATCATGATGGACAGTTCTGGTTGTGTAGTCAGTCCCCTGATGTCCCATGATCACACAGCTTCTACTAGAATCTAATAAAATATCCAAAACCAATTTAATACCACTTGAGACCATTGTTGTCATCCCCAATTCCTGGACTTCCTCAGCTGTATTGCCTTGGTCCACTTCAAAGCCTAGTTCTCCAGCCTTTCTGCCAAACAGTGAGTACCTAAATCCTTCCAGCAAATTCCCCTTATTTAAGTTAAGCAGCCTGCTTTTGTTTCTTGCAACCAAAAAACCCTAATGCATAAAAATTGTGTTCTGGTCAGGCAGGTTAGGTAGTTATGTAGTAGTTAGTGCCTTCATTCTGAATTATGTGTTTTTTGCATTAGCATAACTAGCATGATGACATTATTTATTGATCTCCTAGAGCAAAACATAAGAAACTGAGTTTCCCATTGTGCCAAAGGGACAAAATCACTTGGCTCTCACCTCTACAATAAAGCAAAGTAAAACACCACAACACTCTTTACATCTATTTTGATCCTAGACTTCCTTCTGTGGTCATTTCACTTCCAATTCACACAACATTCAATGTTATGCATTTAACCTAAGAGTGAAACCACATGTCCACTCCAGAAGCTCTGTTAATTTCACATGAGAGAATCAATTACAGGGATTTTTCATGCTTTAGTAAGAGTTATATTTTTCATGTCTACTTAAATTAGTTTTGTATGTTAAAACTGAAAAAAATATCAATATCATTCTTAGGCTCCTTTTTCCTTAAAAACAACTTTCTGGCAACTAGTCATAGAGAGAACCAGGTTGCTGGAGGACAGAAGTGAGAGGAACTCTCTTCTTTGCATTCCTTTGGGCCTTTAAAACTTCTGCATTATGTGAACAGATATCAATTCAAAAAATATAAATAAAACAATCAGAAAAGGAAGAAAATAATCCAATAAGCTGTATGTACATGTATTGATGTATCTTTATATGATGGAATAATAAATAGGCACTAAAAATCATATTTTTAGGCAACACTAAATGATAACATTTAGAGATGTACACTGGGTGGTAAAAATATAAATACAAATAAGGAAATTATTACCATACAAGTCATTAGGGCAATGAATTTCAGCAGGGAGGGAGAGGGTTCTGTTAGAAGAGTGTTTCTGCGGTGGCTGAGAAAGGCGATGGCTAGGACAGTGCTTACCTTACAACAATTCATTTATACAGTTTTCTGTATCTGTGTTACATGTAGCAATATAAAATTTTTTTAAGAAAACTATTTTTTAAAGGATTTTTTAACGGGATGGGAAACTGCTCACAATATAAAATTCTGTGGGAAAAAAGGCAGGCACACAATTCTGTGTACAGAATGATTCCAGTTATGCATACACACATCAGATATTCATAGAAATAGATATTAAAATAAACATACCAAATGTGAATTGTATTTAGTTTTCTTATTATTTTATATAGCTGCCATATTTGCTTAAATGTACAATATAAGAATTTGTAAGATTATTATTACGAAAGATGAGGTGTAGGGGAAGTATTCTGTTAATGCTTAACCCTCTTCAGTTCTTATAAAGGTAGGCACTTAATGAGAGAATCATAAAATTTTAGGGTTAGAAAAAAATCATGAGATCATCTTCTCACACAGGCATCTTTCACAGATGGAGAAACTAAAGGGCAGACTGGCTAACTGACTTGGCCAAGGTCCAGAATTGGTCTTGGACCTGGGACAGGGCCCAGTTCAGTGCATTCAGTGCAAAGTCCTCCCCCCTCTCTTACGCTGAGACATGCCTTCCATGGAAGGTGAACACAAAGCCTTGCTCTTTAAGGAATGTTTTCTTGCCCTTTCAAAACAGGAGTATTGTGAGAATTATCACTGAGCAATATCCCCAATGAGATATAAATTTGTAATACAATGACAATCTCATACAGCAAAAGCTAAAGAGTACCAATGGAGAAATTTTATTTTTGAATGTTTTAAAGAAAGAAAGAACAACAAGTTGCCCTTAGACTTCTAGAAGACCTGCTTGAATTCACTCATCTGACACAGTAATGGTAGCTTGTGACTGCAATATAAAGTCCGTCATTACTGCTTTTATTGCTATAAAAAATGACACACTCTACAGGGCAGCTGCTGTAAATCAGGCTTGTTTTGACAGGCTGTTTCTGAGTGTTCCACCTCATTCACACTTTAGCCCCACTCTGGTGCCCCGTAGGCCCAAGCGATTTGCACAAACACCACGTGACCTCCACCACACCTCCCAGAGAGAAAGAAAAAAAAAAAATTAAAAAATAAAAGAAGAGACAAGTTACTCCTCCGAAGTTCTAGTTGCCCCCTAACCTGTTTCTGTCAGTCTCTCATTCTTCATTTTTTAAATTGGTTTTCTAAACACTTCACGTTTGAGCTCCTTCATGTGCACCGTTTGAACTTTCCTCCCCACGTTTTGCTTTCTGAAAGATCATCTCTAACCTCCAACCTTCACTGAGTACCTGCTAGGTGCCAGACACCATCCGCAGGGCTAGGAATCCAGAAATAAATAAAAGTCTCTTCCCTCAAGAAGCTCTTTATCTAGTGAAGCGTCCGGACAAATAATCTGATGATGACGTAAGACGTGGGTGGTTCTACATGAAAACCAGTGAACGCTCTGCTCATGGCATTTTTGTGCCAGGAATAACTGTCCGCTAATACTTATCACAAGTGCCTGGTTCTACATTTCTATCCCTCTCTGTAACATCTTAGATCCACTAGATGAAGCCAGGGAGGCCCCACAGATGGCAACCCCCAGTTTTTGTCAAGCTTATATAGAGAATAAATAGCTTGTCTATCTGAATGTGCCAGACAAACACTATACTAAGCAAAAAACACTATGCAAATTCCTCAGATATAATTTCGAAGACTAAAGTTAAAAAAATACTCACGTTTTATCTCTACCTTATCTTTCCGCAAAGTGACCAGAGAACTAACTCCATGAAGAAGGAGACTATGGAAGGCACTGTAATAGACTAACCATCATCCATGTCTGTCCTTATAAACAGAATCTCAATTTCACTGGGGGCAATGATGGGTACAGCCCACAGCACCTTGTGAGATAATTACTATTCCAGACTCCTTTTCTGTTGAGCATACCAGGGCGGCAGGGTTCTGCCATTGAGAGTTCATGGAAATCTGCTAGGCGGCTTCTGAGGGTTGTTCAGTGCTTGTAAAAATGACAATAAGAAAAGAACTCCCTTTACCACTTCTTTCTGACTTGAAGTCAGGTGAGATGTTTGGAGCTATGGCAACCATGGAGCAATGAGGTGATAAGAACAAAGACAAAAGCCAGCATGCTGAGGACACAGAGAAGAAAGAACCTGTATCCTTGGAAACATTTTAGGGGGGTTGGACTTCGTCCGGACTGCCTGTCCTTGATGTTCTTTTATGTAAACATTACATGTCTCTGTGGTTTAAGCCTCTGAACTATTATGTTACTTGCTGCTGGGAGCATTCCTAATACAGATAAATGTCTAACTTGTTCATCTCTCTAACCTTAGTACCAACAACAGCGGCTGTCATATAGCAGGTGGTCAAAGTATACTTGTTGAAAGAAAAAGAATGAATGTACTGTAGATCAAATACGAAGCGTCCTACCTATATTTGTGGGTGGTAAAGATTTTGTACTTATTTTATATTGAATTTTTATTTTGAGTATAATTTCTCTAAAAATAAAATGTGCAATGCAAATTTTGCTTGCCTTACATTGTTTTTTCCTTGTTAACAACATCCCAGATTTTTTTTATCCTTCACATTATCCAAGGGAGAACAGACCCTTCTTCGGTCCCAGGAAAATCAATCTTGTTTGAGTGACTTATGCTTGGGCACAAGAAACAATTGGGGCCAATGGGGCTAATTCTGCTGGGGATTTTGGAGGAAGGCAAGTGGACCACAGAAGGAAATAATCCTCTTCTCAATTCTTTATGTGATGTCAGAATCTGCAGGTGCCATTTTGCCAAAATGAACGAGGAAGCTTGAGGACTAAGCCACCACATCAGGACTGGGAGCATGGAGAAATGAAAAGAGCTTTGGTCCTTAATGACATAGTTGAACCCTTCCAGAAGCCAAGTTGTCTCCAGACTCCTTGCCATATGATGAAGGTACTGCTAAAGAAAAAGAAAAAAAAAAAAAAAAAAAAAACCTTTGGAAAATGAAGGTTTTGCCTTTATTCAAATGGAACTTTTTTTTCTTTTAAAGATTTTATTTATTTGTTTACTGGACAGATCACAAGTAGGCGGAGAGGCAGGCAGAGAGAGAGGGAAGCAGGCTCCCTGCTGAGCAGAGAGCCCGATGCGGGGCCCAATCCCAGGACCCTGAGACCACAACCCGAGCCGAAGGCAGAGGCCCAACCCACTGAACCACCCCGGCGCCTCTCAAATGGAACTTTTAAAATTTATAATAAGGAATATGCATTAATGTGTTACTTATTTAAAGTAAATAATAAGGGATTAGAAAAAAATAGTAATATAGGATTAGTG